TCTGGGATTCACCTGCCACCGCCAAGATGATGTTTTTTTGCCTTGGAATTCCCACTCCGGGTTTGGGCAACCAAAGAAAATCAGGTTTTCTTGGCTCATTCACGAAATGGTCAGCTGAAAAAGCTATCCAACTAACTACTGGCTCATTGAGAACTCCCATTTCTTGTTAGCTTGGCTTCAATCCAGAGATGTTTGCGGTTGCATGTTATCTGGCCTCACATCGTTTCGAAAAATCAGAGATCCATAGAGATCCCCATGATGAAGATCAGCTCCATGGCAATGAAGCTAACCACCATTTTTTTGGATGAAATCTCTACATTGAAACCGCCATAAAAATAGAGATTTCCCATGATCTCCCCAGGCGTTTCCCAATGAAAAACCTCCATTTTTCTTGGGGATTTCCCCAGTTTGCCTTGATGACACCAGAGACTAATCCTCCCAACGAAATCTCTGAGCATCGGCCTCTGATCCATCAACTGGGCATAGTGGACCTGCGCCGGTGTCAATCCATCCCCAACAGTCTTGGGATCATCTGCCCAAATGTGGTGTTATAGTGTTTTAGATGTTTTTTTAAAAGGAACAAGAACAAACTACCAACACGGAAAAGGGGTATGGATGGGTATGGTTTATCAGCTTTTTTTAGGGCATGGAAGAGCAAGAGTCTGAAACCAACAGCTGGCCGTATCTACTGGCTGACCAAATCTCATGCAAGGCTATTGGTTGAAACCAAAAATGATATGAGATCCAATCAAAAAATATCAAACATCGGGTGACTTCTTTCTGTCATTTCAGCCTCATATCTGGATTGCCGCATTTCTTCCGGAAAAATCAGTCTTACTTCAGCTGAAACCATCAGAAACCCCCAGGTTGATGCCTCCATGAAGATCCACACGAAGGTCCCCACGCTCCTGACGGAGATCTCTGTGGTGCACCCCTGAAATCCCCTAAGGTCTTGATGGCTTCATGAAGCGAGCCCAAAAACCGACAGGAAATGCAGTGGTGTAATTCCGTGGAAGTGATCTACAAACGGTGGATGACCCCTGCATCGATCTCGGTTTACTGGGGGGCATCGACATCTCTGAAAGCCGAGAGCCGACATGGTGAAAATGGTCACATGATACTGTCAAGAAGAAAGAAAACAAACCATGTAAATCCAACAATGAAATACAATGAACCTGTATCTCTGGTAGAATTGCGGATAGGTTCTAATTGGGTATATGGTATACCACATTAGGTGTCTGTTTTGTCCGCCAAACCTTTGTTTCTGTAGTCTCCGGGGGGGTCTTGGTTCCCATCCAGTCGTCTAAGCTTCCGACACAAGCGTGTGGCCGGATGGCATGCCGCAGCTTGTGCTACAGGAGCCCTGGCGATGGACCCATCCTATGAAAGCGACCCAAATCCTGACCCAATGATTTTTCTGGTTGGTGGTTGACCTACCCCTCTGAAAAATATGAGTTCGTCACTTGGGATGATGACATTCCCAATATATGGAAAAATAAAAAATGTTCCAAACCACCAACCAGATTTGATGTCCATTCCCACACATTATTTGAATCTTGTTAGAATTAGTTGGACACAAAAACAGGAGCTTGCGCCGATACTCTACCACAATCAACCACCGACAGATGTTTTCGACCTATCCCAAAGGTACGAGTCAATTTTGCAGTTGCGGTTGACTGCACTATCGGCGGTTATCACATTGCATGTACACTTACCTTGTCTCAAATCATCATCCGATATATTTTCCAAGTGCAAATCGCCGTATTCTAAGATCATCATTTCAAAAAAAAATAGTTGAAACCGCCAAACAATCCCCAGAAACTGCGTTAGGCCTGCGGCCGCGGCTGTTGCATGATCATTTTCAAGATGAACATGACCTGGTCGAAGGGGTTGAAGAACCCATTGGGTCTAGCTGTGAGGGTTTTGTTCCTGGGTAGTGTGCACTCGCCGACAATATAAAATGGAAACTTCAGAAAAACAATCTGGGGTTGGCCAAACATTGTATCATGATGTATCATGTGGGCAATTATGACTAACAAAATTGGGAATGTTAGTTAGTTACTCATAATTCCCCAGATAATACTAAATTAGTTAACTAACTAAGTATCAATGTCCAGAAGCAGCAGTTTCTGAGCAGTTTTAACCTCAGAAGGTTCTGCTAGGCATGCTCTCTCCAAAATCCATCAAGTTGGCTGTCAGAAATCCCTCCTGCGATGATTGGTCCAAAGTGTCCCAATGATTGGTTTCTGCTTGGTCGCTTCAAGCAAAAAATGTCTGTAAATGTTCATCATCATCATCATCATCATCATGCCAGGTGAGATGTAAGATAAAATAAGTATTGCATACAACGGATATCATATATATATACACATCTCAATCACAGCATTTGAAAGCGTGTACCAATAATTTCTATGATTCATGTTCAGCTATTAGTGTATTAAATATTAGTTTTATCCCCATTTTAGGGCTGGTAGACTCTCCTACCGGGTCTCTAGGGCCAGCCACCACGAGACAAACAAACTGGAAGATGAAAGCGATCACTTCGCGCAGCCCTCGGGTCCTGACCGAACCAGTTTTTACACGGAGAGGTCAAGTTGAGACTGAGAAATATGTAGCCCTACACATCCCTAAACTAACATGGACCTAAAATGGATGTGGAAAAAAACACCATTTGTAGATCATATTCCGAAGGGATTTCCCCATGGGTTAGGCACATCTATTTAGGGATGTCTAGCTCCCTCCCTCCGGTCCACAGGCCAAAGAGCATGATGCCGAAAACCATCCTTGGGCGGGCACCATGCGGCCGTCATCTTTCGAGTGTTTGGCTCAGGACACTTCCGTGTTTACTTCCACAGGAGCAATCTCCTTCAAACATCTTCAACCTGTGCCCAATAAAATGCAAACATGTAGGTCGTGTATATGATGATTAATCATGATAAACCATCCCAAATTTGACTGGGGTCATCATGATACACCATCCCATGAAGAAGGTGGTACACTAGTACACCCAATCTGATACACCTCTAATGTGGGTAAAACAATACCACCGATAAACATGGTGATTTGGGGGATGGTTTATAAAGTTTATGGCATTGTTTTACCCACATGATCCCACATTATTGGAAATGGTATCATCTCAGAAAACCTCCAACCAGTCTTCTTCTCGCCCAGTCACGTCATCGGCATAAACGAATAAAAGGCCGCGACGTAGTGGACCCAGGTCACCCCTGGAAAATCAACTCCGGAGGACGAAATGCTGGTGGAAACATTAGTGAAACATCTTTGAAACATCGTTGAAAGTCTTCAAAAAAAATATTAATATGTCGAAATCATGTCTTTATAGATGGGATCCCCAGGCATTTTGGGGACAAAATCTATAGCGCAGCTTGGGCCAATAGTCGTGGGATCAAAATTTTGGAAACTTGTGCACGGTCAGTTGTTTACTTCAACACTGTGCAATGACTCTGTCACTGGTCAAAACTCAAGGCAAAAACTATGGCCCTATGGCTGTAATGTTTTGTGAGGATGGAGCCAGAAAATGATTTCCATCATCTAACAGATTCCATGAGCTACTCAAAACATGCCAAGAAGATTGAACAGTTCCCACCCAAGAAAACCACGCGGCTCGCCAAAGCGGAACCTTCGTTTGGCCATGTCCAACTGCCCACGAGTAGACCCTGCCTTGATGCCAAATCGTTGCACTTTCGGATTCATTTTGATCACGACTCCGGTGGTTTTTCGGAGTGGTACCAACTACTTCTACTTGACCAAAAAAAATCAAGAAAACATCATATGTAAACGTGTAGATCCAAAATCTCTATAAATCTCTCATATCGGAACCATCCCACAGATTTCCTTCTCGGATGCCAAGAAAAAACGACGGCTGTTACACCATGAAGGGCCGCGTTTGGGCGACCGAACTTCTCACCGAAAGGACACGACTTCCCTTCCTGGCGCAGGGGATTGAACTGGGATCAAGGGCATTTTTTCCACCAACTGGGATTGAACATGATTGAGGAAAAAATGCCCTTGATCCCAGTTCAATCCCAGTTGGTCTTTGAGGTAAGATCCCAGTTGATCCCAGTTCAAGCCCAGAATTGAACATGATTGAGGCAAAAATGGATTCTTTGCGCTTTTCTTGTGGTCTTTGAGCATTTCAAGATATTTCAAGCCAACTACAGTAGTGGTCACGTCATGTCACGTCCGTCTTTTGTGGCACTTGTTCAGTCGATGTGAAATTCCTGTCCTGGGCCCACTGTGGCAAACATGCTGGCACACTCATCGCCTGTCCCGATGATTGGCTGACTGGTTCGATCCAGATTCTTCGGACCCATCCATATTTGGAACCATGATATAAATATTATAATATATAATAATTAATATATATATATATATTATAATATTATAATATATTATATAATACTTTATATATATATATATACATATCCCCTTTCATCTTTAATCAACGATTCCACGCGTTTCATCCATTTCCGGGCATTCCAGGCAGTGCTTTTTCAACGCAGCTACTCAGGGTCCAACCTACTGGTGATCGATTTTTGAATGTCACGGAGTTTTCGAGTTTTCGGCCACGAGATGTTCATGGATCTTTTCCTCCAGCAATGGGCAAAAGGTCACAGCACTTCACCGGCACGGCCATCTGAAAATGTCCACATCAAACGCGAGGGGCCGGCCGCTGCCTAGCTGATGCTATGGATTGGATAGTATGTCTTACAGGAAACCATGGGCTGTTTACCAAAAAATAATGGGGCAACTTCATGCAACTTCGTGAAAATTTGTTCTCTTCATCCAAGAACAGGCAAGTAGAATTCCTACTTCGGGTGGATATTTTCTGTATATACATAACAATACATAACACATAACCATTCCATCATCAAGATATGCTCAAAAATGGCCAAAAAAACATGCCAGCTCCAGGTTGCCCGGGTGCAACGAAAGAAGCCCGTGGGACTTCGCTCTGCCACGTAGTGGTTGCTATGCGGCTACTGCACTTGAGCACCTTGATACTTCTCCAGCATCTCCTGTCTGGGCTCACCGTTTTCTACTGAACCAACCCCCCGTTGTCATCAAATTTAGCTGGGAAATCCAGGAACTAAATCGGCATGCCAAATAGGGCAACTCGTTTAACTAATTTGGGATTTTCTTTGCCATGTTTGATTATCAGAGGGTATGTCAATGTTCAGTTTGGTTTCTTCAGCCGAATTTGAGGTATTTGTTGACTTTTTGGTGGCTTAACGTTGATCATGCCACGTTGTGCCAAGTGTTGCTGGTTTGCTCTCTAGATTCTCCAGGTCGGTTGGTTTAAGTTGTAACCTCGTTTTTTGCTGCTCGAACTACCGTTGTTGTTGCTAACCATACCATACCCCATTTCGGTCGCCAAAATCCACCATCTCTGGCTGCCATTTTCCCAACAAAAACATGGCATCCGCTGAATTGATACAAGACTTGGGGTGTATCCTCTAATTCTTAACCTAGGGGAAACCGTTCTGGTTTGAGTATATGGGTCTCGTTGACCACCCCCTCTGGGTCTCGGGCCTGTATTGACCGATACCTAAAATATATGGGTTTGTCTAAGGAGAAAATCCCCCAAATCCACGAGCCCGTCTCAATCAACGTCCGTTCCCATGAGATGTTTCGTCCTGAAGCAGCTCCTGATATCTCGCCCGGATCACCTTGGCATGTCGCGGGAGGATCTCCTCCAGCTCTCGCCCTGGCCCTGCACGCTGTCGAAGCAAGTCCACCTGCTGGTCGATCGGCCACGTTCACGGCTGGGGAAACAGCTTGGATGCCGAAAAAGGGGAAACCTCCCTAAAATGATGGAGAAGGATATGGGATGATATGTGTAAACAACTCCATCTAGAACCGGGACACCTGGCCCATAGGAAATTTAGTTTAGATGGGTTTACCCAAAAGATATGGGATGATTGACCAAAAACTACAGGTATAAAACGAACCATCTTATCAGAAGATCTTTTCACATATTGATATAGTGGTATCTACAACAATGCCGGGTTGTCCAAGAATGTTGGGAAAACTACAAGAATTTATTGTTGATCAACACCCAACAGGCTTCCCATTCAAATCACATTTTTTGGGTATTCCCGGATAAACCCCATGTTATAAAGGGGTTCAGGCAGCAAAACTATACCAGATTGAAGCTTGAAGCCAGAAATTGCAAAACGTGATCTGGCTTTGCTTGAAACGGCACAGGAAGTTCAGCTCCATTTCACTCTCATTCCCCCTGAAACTCATCTTTAGGATATCTTCACTCTTCCGAGCCTGCATAACCTCAAGCTGATCTCCCGCTGCAACCTTTCTTTTGAATATTATTAATGACTTGAAACCGCGAACAGGATGGAATGTACCCCAACATCATGATCAGCAGCATAGCGATGAAGATAGTCAGAGCAGGCAAGGCCCGCTGGGCTTGTGGAAGGTTCGCTTCAAGTTTCGTTTCATAGGTCCATGGGTTCATTTTTTTTTACTAGGGCAGACACAAATCCACTCACACCTCCAAGCAGACCAAATTTCTCAACGCTGCTCCTCACATTTGCGCAGACTTGCGCAAAATATCAGACAATATCATTCACGTAACCACGGTCAACCCATCAATAAAATACACAATTATCAATCAAAACAGCAAAAAATGTAGTCAGTTTGAACAATAAATTTAGATAAAAATATGAAAACAAACCTATGCATAACTATGCAATATATGTCCATTTCCTTTACACATGATACTGGGTTCACCCAGGAAACGGAGAAAAAAATATATGCAAAAATCACCAACATTTCTCTTCAGCATTCCCAGAATAGATTTTCACAAAAAATAACATCAAAAACCCCAAATCTCTCCAAACATCACCAGAATTTTTGTGGCAAAAAAAGGAACAAACCATGAAAAATCACCGAAAACTCGCCAAGTCTCGATCAATGGATCCCTTGGCAAACTCCACCCCCCTGGGCCCCAAGGCTGTGACGACGTCGCTCAACAGCTCCGCCAGCCACCGCGGCGGCGCTTCGCGGCGCCGGCGACGGCCGAAGGCCAAGTCCAGCTCCGGGGACAGCACCGAGGGCACCAGCTGGGAACGTGGCAGGGACCAACCGTTGGGCACCAGGCTGGATGCCTGGGAGGGACCCTTGGAAGGTGATGAAACATGGGAAAATCCTTTAACGTTGGTAAAACAAGAATAAACCATCCTCCAGATCACCATAAATAGGTGGTGCAAACCATTCCCAAATGGTTTTTTATTATTGCTTTACCTTCATTACAACTGCTATGGCAATGGGAAGATTTATGATTTTTTTCTGAAAGAAATGGACCGTGATTTCCCAGCTTAGGTTGTCTCAGAGGGTCCATCCAATCTCTGTCCGATCCAACCAAATGACCCCCACACCTGACCCACGTCCAGTTTCTCTGCCAGTAGGTCCAACATCTGCTGACCCTTCTGGTTGCGCACCACGCAGTACTGCTGATGCTCCGTCATACGACCACCTTGCCATGGGGCTGCCATATATCCAACCGTCAAGTCGGTGAGGGCATTCACCTTGGAGCCGGGGGAAATTAATCCCATCCATTAGTGGTGATTAATGTTGGTGGTGATCTGATGGGAATATTCTTGGGGATATGATTATCAAATAGCCCTTAGGAACAGCGCCTTTTTTGTGGGTGCCACGAAGTCAACGTTGAGGAAGAAGGTCTGGTGAAACACGGGGAGCTGGGTCACTGTTCACTTCCGCACCTTTGCCACCTTGCCCTTGGAAGCGCTTGGACGATGCGGTCCCATTCTTTCTCTGCGTAAGTTTCGCGAGTCTTGGGGCCACAGGTGGACATGGCTCTCTCAAAGGCCTGCTGGCTGCAGTGCTGGTGGACCACGCTTTCCAAGACTAAGGCTTGACGCTGGTTGGACGTCACAACAACACAGTGCACAGCTGCGAGACAGTTCCCTCAGGAAAGCTCTCTCCATATAGCTGCACCGTCCCCTGACTACAAACGCAGTCTGGCCATGTTGCCTAGCTTCAGTGCCAGAGCGTGCACTATTCCAGGGCCTCTCGGCTCAGGGAAGCTACACGTATAGACCTGGAGCTGATGCACCAAGGCCCCCAGCCATGGCAGCTGAAACGACATTTTGACAGCGTACTTGCGGTTCCCCAGAAGGTGATCCATGTTGAGTCCATGCATGGGCAACGGCTGATTGTCCGGCACGTCTTCGCCAGGCATCTGAGAGAACCAAGTTGGCTTCTCCATCACTGGACGCCACAAGGGCACGGACACGCGAGGACAAGGGAAGCCTTCGGAGGAACACATGTCTGAAGGCGGTGTGCAGATGCTTTTCTTATGTGGATTTTTGGGAAACATAAAAATGATACTTGCATACTAAAGGTGCTGACAAGGTGCTTGCGAGGCCAACTCATACGGATCACCACCTGCGTGGTTCAACCAGTACTGGCACTGTGTCGCTGCATCAGCTTCCCATGCTTCATCAGCGCCAAACGGCCAGAGCTGGATGAAAGCTTTCTCGATACCGCGCCAGTCACCAACTGTGTGGCGGCAATATCTGCCCTTTTGCGGGTGACCGCCCAATCTCGAGGCTCGATCCATCACCACGACTCTTGACATGAAAGCAAACCACGTACAAAACCCGGATGAAGAACAAGGCATGGTGTTCGGGCGTGCCCAGCGCACTGTCATCCGACATCCGCATACAGGTGCCACCCTCATTTGAAAGGTCTCCAGGAAGCTGAGAATTTCCATGGTTCACATGTCTGGGTGTCACCGTCAGACACTCTAACACTGAAAAACGCCGTACTTTTGAGGGAGTGCTTCAGATGCCTCAAAATTTCCATGGTTCACATGTCTGCATGTCACCGTCAGACACTGAAACATTGAAAAATACTACACTTTCACGGGGTCTCCAAGAACGTGAAATTTCCATGATTTACATGTCTGGATGTCACCGTCAGACACTAAACTACTGAAAAATGCCAAGCAGCTGTGTCAGGCTCTGGCAAGTCAAGCGTCAGTCCACTCCACAGTACCGAAGGCCTCGAGCCCGACCATGTAGGTTCAGGTTCACTTTTGATCACTGGTCCAGCTGCCTTCTTTGGTTTTGACTTAGCAGGTGCAGCTGTCGCTTTTTTCACCATGTTGGTTTCTACTTCCACGGCTGTTGCTTTCAACATCTGCATCTCTTTCACCTTGAGCTGCGCCTCTCTCAACGGAAGCAAAGCCTCTCTCTTTTCAAGCTCTGTCACTTTCATCTTGACCTCTTGTTCGCTAAGTTTGATCTGTGTCTCGGGCTCTTGCTTTGCTATTTTTAGCTTGAGCTGATAGTTCTCTTCAACCTGGTGGCTCCATCAATCAGCCATAGGCAAAAAGCCTGTCATGACTTCCCTTGGCATCAGGAAGCCAGCTTCAGCAGCACCTCGAGAGCTTGAATAGGGACGGCTCGCTCTCGTCGCTATGGAATCCTGTCTGGATCTCCTCGCTCTCCAGATCCTAGCATCTGTAAAGCTGCTGGACTATCATGTTCCACAGCTCTGTGGATCTGGTGATGCAGGAGGAGGACTACTTTGAAGCTCTCTTCGCAAACTCCTTGTGCGAGCATCGCCAGTAGACTCCGACTCTTCATTCATCATATTAATTTCTCTTCCGCCCGGGGCTACTTGAATCACTCTCATGGTAGCACTCAAAATCTACCACCGTTTCATCTTGAGAGTCACAAACAGCTACAATTTCAAGTTTCCTGATGCTCTTGATCACATCTTGGTTCAGTAGGGAGTTTACACATACAGTAATTATTTGGAACCATACCATGGGTGTGTATATAATAATTATATAGTAGGAAGTAGGGAGGCTAGTTTGGTCCCCCCAAATGGTCTATTTGGAGTCTATTTATATCTATTTGTCGATTTCGAATCTGTCCCCCACATAACAACCATCCCAACATGGGGGGAAACTTCACACGAAACTACTCAGATCACTGCCCGCGGGTTTCAACACATCCCGCCCGAGGCATGCCGCAGTCGTGCAGCTTTCAGACAGTTGAAACATGTTGAAACCAAGCAGAAAAAGTTGCAATCATTCGCCAAAGGCACATAGTCAAAACATGCATAGCAAGACTTCGCAATGACCCCAGTGCAATTCTCAGGCTCCTGCCACTTGCAGAAACAAATCAATCGCAAATTAGATGGCTGGAACATCAAGGATTCGAGGACATATCTGATGGGAAATTTGTTCTCCAGCTCACGCTCTGAGATTCAAGGTTGCACTCAAGGCCAAAATGCAACCTCGAAACCCAAAACATGAGCTGGAGAATAAAATTCCCATCAGATATGTCCTTTTTATCCTTTTTCCAGGCGTGTTTTCCAGGCGGTTTCCTGTGGAAATCCCAAGAATCTCAGCCATGACCCGATCACCGCCCAACCTTCAATGCAAATACCGGGATTTTCTCATAGCGCCCATCTGCATGCTTCACATGGATACCTTGTGGCTTGTGAGATGCGGGAATGTAGAACAGAGGCACAAAGGCCAGGAGAATATGTGAGCTTGGAAGTGCGGTTCCAGCTATAGATGCAGAGCTAGGCGTTCTATCCCAACTTCTGGGGTTTCATAACCATCGTCAAAAACCATGGTTTTACCCAACTTTTTCACCTCTGCACCGCAGTTCTTTGGATGTGTTTTCAGCCAGCTTCGCCCAGCCACGATTATCCTGCATAAATTCAAAGCCCACAGCCGTCTCCGGTGTCTCACTGGCACTCCGCAGAAAACGCTGAAGCGCCTGGCTCCAGGATCGAAGATATTGAGAGCTGGGAAGGGACACCGACAATTTGGAGCCATCCTCAATCTTGACACCAATTTTCATCCAATGATCCATTTTTGGACAGTGAAATGTCCACCCGAAAACATCAAATGCTTGCCGACTGAGAAAAGTGTGTTACACGTGATCGTGAAGCGATGAGCCGTGCCCCTCGGAGACGCTTCCCCGCGTCCCGGCCTCGGAGTCCCTGGGGTTATCCACACAGTTCGTCCCCAGGACGTACAGTTCATCCAGCCCCAAATCCTCCTCGACCGAGCGAAGCGCTTGTACTTGACATCCCACACCAATGAAGAGAAGCCGTTTGATGTCTTCACCACGAACCTGATGCGTAACGGCTCGGCGGTTGAGAACTTTGAAAATGTGCAAATGTATCGTAGGTGTCATATTCACTACACAAACATCTTGAAACTGTAAACCCGCAAATGCTTATCACGTGCTCATGTCATACAGTATCTGATGCTCGGCGATGCTGACCAACTTGGACAAAGATCCCAGCATCTCCCAACCGCACCTGCCACAGTTCTTCCAACGGCAGCAAGTTGGGAGACAACATGGGTTTCACTCCACCACATTTCAAGACCTCCCAGGGGTTCAGTTGGAGCCAAAAAAAAACAAGAAAAACCGAAAAACCTCAAGATCATCCAAAGGCAAGAAGACTTAAGATGGTTGGCAAGAGTTCTTTTTCCAACCAAAATCCATCTCCAGTCATCTTTGATTCCATTTGTTCTTTCTGTATGTATCCAAATAATATACTTCTATTATCCAGACTCCACCCTAAAACATAATTACACATCACTAAAGCCTATATCCACATCAAAAATCAAACATTGCAATGTGAAAACCATGGAAATCCATAGAAAATCCCTTTGAAATCGAGGTTTCAATGGAAAAAAATATGAAAAATATGGAAAAAAACATCATATCTATCCATCTCCAAGACCTTCCCCCGCCTCCTCCACCGTTCGCGCCAGGATGGGCCTCGGCTCCAGCCGCTTCTTGGGGCTCTCGGCGGCCACGCAGAGCACGGCGTCCACGCGGCCCGCAGCCAGCAGGGCGCAGGCCATGGAGGTGACGAGGCCGGTCCAGGCGCGCTGAGCCGGGCGCTGCTCGGGGAGGACCTGCAGGGGAACCACGCCGTCCTGATAGATGGATGGGATGGATGGATTGGGGTTGGGAAAGTTGACATGTTTTCTTTGGTGCTTTTGGGTGTAAAGGTTTGGAAAATGAGATGGGGGAAATTTTCACGGATATATGTGATGATGATTTACCCAAAATGTGTTGCAAAAAAAAAATGGCTGGTGATTGTTTGGTAAAGTTCGTCCATTTGTTTGGTGGTTGATGATGTTGATGAGTGTGACCCATACCCATAAATGGGATGGGTCATTGCATACCGCAGCCATGCTGCAGGTATGTTTACACATTGTGTTTCTTGTTTCAAAGGCAAAAAATTGGGTCGAAATCCGCTGGAATCTCCTCCACGGTCACGCCAAAGTACAGCTCCATCTCATCCTCGAGGTTCCGCTGTCGACCATGTACGCGTTCCTCCAGCTGGTCGAGTCGTGCCATGCCGTCGCCAAGGAAGGCACAAGCCTCCTGGACTCGGCCAACCTGTATAGTGGAATCTGCTAAGAGGCCCGAAGATCAGGTGGAAAACACAAGAAC